GGCTCTCAGTTGTCAAAATGACAGTCGCTCTCATTTGTAAGTTCGACACAAGACCCACTTTAAATAACTATATTCAAAATTACCAATAGTTTATTTCAATAATTCGCTTGCGCATATGGGTCTTTAACAGTGGGAGGTAACCGGAGTACCCAGAGAAAACCCACAAGGTTAGAGTTTTGTTAAATTCAAGTAATTTTAATTAGTTGTGTTATTCTATCAACATGCCCCTTTAACTCCAACTTGTTTAATATAAATATTCCCAGGACATTTACACACATACTCCTCATACCAACTATCAAACTTGTCACTCATTTAAAACAGGTGGTAATTATATATCTTCTAACCTTCCAGGAGGGGTGAGTGCAAGCCTGAACAGAAGGCACCTATCACAGATATTGTCAGACATAAATTATCACACAATATTTTTATTATACAGTCCTACACACAAGCCAAAATTCTGGCTCCAATGGAGCTGCAGTAAGATCTCTAATGCTGTCAACACCTATAGCTACTGTCTCATTATTATAAAACACATGGCCATAGACCCACTGAATCTTATCTTTATAAATGTATTGTATTTCAATATTTTTTGGTTGTGGGAGGAATGTGCTATCTATGTTGGCACACAATATCAAATTTCACACCGATGTTAATATTGCATAATATAAAGATATCCAATGCTCATTGTATCATTTGATATACTAGCAGACGGCTTATATTATATTGTACTGTTCCTTTCAAACTGGAATTTCATTATGTTGAAATTAAGAGAATTGCCACTGAGAAGAGATGATAATGATTCCAGATTGTGGATTATTTTGGATGACTTTATAATATATCTTAAGAACAATCAATCAGAAAAGGATAGGATTAAATTATTGAAGAAATATAACATTAAACGAGAAGTAGAAAGATACCAGGGAGGACATATCAAAGTTGTTGGTGGCACAGAATGCATAAGTACTTTGGCTATTCTAAAATATATTTTTAATCATTCCGAGGACTTTGAAAATTGTTTTTCCATTGGAAACCAAATAAGTAAAGATTTTTTCTCTTCGGTACCATCAAAAATTCAATTACAAGGTACACTATTAGATCTTTACAAAGAAATATCAAATTTACTTGTTGGGAAGGACGATCATAAATATCTGAAGCTTGATGAATTGAAAATTCCATTCCTTGAACATTCATATAAAGTTATTTTTACAAATGAAGAATGGTCAAGAATATGTTTATTTGAGCACCATTTTGCGCAAAGCTTGTGCAGTGAGCCTGTAAGTGATAGTATTAAAAGGCGTTGGGACTATCTCAAATCACTAAAAGAAGCTAAAAACCTAAGCAAATCTGTTGTAAAAAGTGCCCAACAAACTATTAAATTGAGAAGTCAAAGGATAACATCAAATGCTGTTAGTGAAGAAATACAATTATCCACAATCAACAAACAATGTACTTTGTACTGGACAAAGTCAAAGCCAGGTGCCTTATATCCAGAGAGGGAAATGGGGTTTAACGTCCACTCGACACAAACTAGGTGTAATATATGGTTCAATTTTATTTCAATAATTCGCTTGCGCATAGGGGTCTTTAGCAGTGAGGAGAACCGGAGGAAACCCATGAGGTTGGACAGGCTACCCTACTCCTTGTCACATACAACTCAACGACAGACCTTATGATGCAATGCCCACGCGTTAACCATTCGGCCATATAGAGAGAGAGAGAGAAATGGGGTTTAATGTCCACCCCACACAAACTAGGTCATTTAGGGAAAAACATATGGTTTAATTTTATTTCAATAATTCGCTTGCGCATAGCGGTCTTTAGCAGTGAGGGGAACCGGAGGAAACCCATGAGAAAACCCACGAGGTTTGACAGGCTACCCTACTCTATGTCACATACATGTACAACTCAACGACAGACCTTATGATGCAATGCCCACGCGTTAACCATTCGGCCATATACATACCTTATGTGATACTTTGTCCTGGACAGTATGAGGCAGGTGCTTTATATCCAGGCTTGATTGCGTGGTTCAATGGTTTAATTTGGGTTTTAAGTGATAAGGTCGGTCTTTGAGTTGAGTGCCCTGGTTTCGTTCCCCAGTGGGGTCGCTTGTCCAACCTTGTCCAACCTTTTCTGCTCCAACTGGGCTAATCAGGACGGGGAGTCCATAAACACTTTTATTAACTTCAGCAGGTAGCCGAAGGTAAATAAATGTCACATTTAATAGCTTAACCTTGCAGAAAGGCCATTTTAATGCCCTTTTAGTTTTAAAAGACATAATACATTGTTGGAGTACCAGGGCGAATCTTTATGAAAATAATCTGTTCTTTCTTCAAATTCATGTGCTATACCAGACTTGATAATAAAACAATGAACGAACAGTAATTATTCACCTGGTGGATCCACACTTTTGTCCCGTATCATTTGTTTGTGTTTAATAACGATAAAAGAACACTTGTTGAACATCGTGCTATATGTGTACAAATAAACGAGTGATTGTTTTCCATATAAATTATGTTGTGGTTTTTATTGTACTCAATCGCTAAATGACACTCAAGAATTTTTTCGTTGCTGTAACAACATAAATTTAGAGAGAGAGAGAGAAATGGGGTTTAACGTCCATTCGACACAAACTAGGTCATTGTGGGACTAACACACGGTTCAATTTTATTTCAATAATAAGCTTGCGCGTAGGGGTCTTTAGCAGTGGGATGAAGGACTAGACAGCTGTCTTTGTCAGGCCCTCTGTCCTGCATAACTGACAAGGAGAAACCACGCCAGAAAATCTCGATGAACTTTCTCGGCCAATGCAGGGATCGAACACCCGACCTCAGAAATGGTTAGACTGATGTCTTCTGTCTTGCCCCAGCAACAGTAGTGGACCGTCCTAAGGCCTTCCTTTGAGCAAGTTTTGTAGTCATTTGACTACAAAAAAGTTACTGGCCTATACATGTACATGTCACTCCCTTAATTTCCAATAACACTGACCCCAAACTGTAGCCTACTGTACATAGCTTAACATACATGTAAATAAACCAATTCCCATCGACATAAAGGTGAAACCATACCGTATAATTATATGATTTGATTAAACCCAATTGCTATGCAAAATTTCTGTTCGGTTTAAAATGGCCGACGAACCAGAATCACAGGGTGTTTTTCACTCAAAAATACAGAAAAACTGTTCAGTAAGATTATGATTCCAGTGTTCCACTCTTCACTATAATTTGTAACATAATTACTTATTTCCATGCAAACTGTGATGATATGTGTTGAAAATTTTGCAATTAAACCTAATTTTTCTAGCTCAAAGCCTTGAATAGTGTATACATGTAAATTGCCGCCTTAGATAAGAATTATCACAGCTATAAATTGCAGCTAAGTGTTGTTGTGACAAGATTGTGTAAGAAACATATTTTGACATTATACACTCGCCCCACCCCCACCACTCTCTTTAATTCAGCCAGTGAAGACTACCAAACTTGTATCAATTTTAATTTAAAAATGTTTACATCCATTCCGTCGAAAATATAATGAATACACTTCAAGAGAGGATTAACTTTACTTTTCAGTATAGATATCCGGAATTTTGGATTAAGCCCCGCAGTTTTATTTTAATAAATAGCCCCCTCGCCCCCCACCGTTCACTTAACTTATTAATCTTAATGTGCCAGAAAATTATTTATATATTTCAAAAGAGAAATGGATGTGCTTTTTTGTGATATGTAACAAGATATCGGGATGATCACCTTTCAAGGCAAGTAAATATAAATGTGCCAGAAAATTATTTATATATTTGAAAGGAGCAATAGATGTGCTTTTCGGTGATAGGATAGCAAAATATATGTAATTTCATATTAAGACCCGTATTTTTACTTTGTATACCCCTACCCCCTTCATTTAATAGAGTTTTATACCCCTCGTCTTTGATCATACATGTACATGTACTTATTTCAACGTTATATCTAATTTAAAATTGTGTGTAAAAAGCACATAGAGCATACTTTAAGTGTGGAATTGACGCTATACAAATGTTCATATTATTATTATTACTATCATCTTTCAAGGCAAGTAAATATTGATGTGCCAGAAAATTATTTATATATTTGAAAAGAGCAGTGAACGTGCTTTTCAGTGATATGTTTAACATGATATCTGGAAATTAGTATTAAGACCTGTATTTTTACTTTGAATACCCCTACCCCCTTCATTTAATAGAGTTTTGTTTCACACAACTTTGACCATCTATAAAGGTAAGTAAATATGAATGTGCCAGAAAATTATTTATATATTTACAAAGAGGAATGAACATGCTTTCTACTGATATATAGCATGATATCTGAAGTTTCTTATTAAGACCCATAATTTGACATTGAATACCCCCCCACCCCCCGTAATTCTTTAATAGAGTTCAGTATTATCCTACTTCAATAGTTTGTCAAGGTACGTAAATATTAATGTGCCAGCTAGAGAATTATTTATATATTTGAAAAGAGAAATAATGAATGTGCTTTTCAGTGATATTAACATGATATCTGGAATTTCGTATTAAGACCCATAATTTGACATTGAATACCCCCCCCCCCCCACACACACACAGGTAATTCCATAGAGTTCAGTATTATCCAACTTTGATAGTTTGTCAAGGTAAGTAAAGATAAATGTGCCAGAAAATTAAGCCTATATCTATATATATTTGGAAAGAGCAATGAATGTGCTTTTCAGAGATATGTAGCATGATATCTTTCTTAGTGAAGGATAAGTTACTGAGGGCTGACTTGATCTCGGCAATAAAAACAGTGATTTTTCTCATAGATGATTGATAAGGTCATAGATCATTCTAATTTCTAAATAAGTTATTTATATAATATTTATTAATATATCATATATATGGTAAGTCCAAAGTCTGCCAGCTAAATGAGAAATTTTGCAATCTCATCGTCACAAAACAACAAGTAGAGTCAGTTCGAATGAGTAAATAAATATTTTAAAATACAAACTTCTTTCAATCATTTCTTCTGTCACCAAACTTCGATTTCTTCCATATCAAATCTCCCTCGTTTCACCGTTACAGGTTACGTTGATTCGGAACCGAAAGTTGATTCAGCCTCCACTGATGGGGTACATGCGCATTACTTTAACTTACCCATCGGTTCCACAGACGACACAAATCAAAAGTACACAAAATCCATCCAAAGTCAGCAATATTTCACCCAGTATCACCCTTATTACTAATATATTTCGTTTAAATGAATGTTCCGGGTGCTAATTATGTTATTTTGTTTTTACAATTATTCCGTTTTTGTGATAAAATTGGACTTTCATGCGCACATGCTTGCAAAGGGAAAGGGACATAACTCCTGAATAACTATCTAGGAGGCAGACCACGATTAATTTCACAATTGACTTCAATGTTAATTCTGGTCTCTTTGCCTGGCTCAAACTTATCAGAAAATTTTCGTTGGGCTGAATGCTTTTCACCAAAATTTGTATGAGATTGACCAATCAAATTTTGACATACACAACCTTGAAGTAGCATACTAAAAACATGTACATGTAACTAGGCTTATTCGCCGTATAGATAACAAACCCCATCTCTCAACCCTCCGTGTTTCAAGATAAGAGATGGTCCCAGTCTATATACAAGGCTCTGGATGGTCCTATATAGTTCCACGTAGCAAAGCCCGATGCGATTTGCGTTGGCAAAATTTACAATATTTTTCATCAAAACAACGATTGGTTATTGTTATTTTATAATATTTCTGCCACACCCAACTACAATTAAGCAGAAAATCCTACCTGATATGGGTACAAATCCCATCTTTTTAAATCGAAGTGATAATAGATTGCTTTCTCCGACATTTTAAATTTACGTCTTTAACACATACAGGCGGGTCAAAGTACTAACCAGATCAGAGTTGCACAGAAGTAATTATGAATGTAGGTATCAATTTTGATAAAAACAACGCTTGATTTACTTTATTGTTAATATTTGCTCATAAATGAATGTTGTTTCAGTAGATTGGGCTGCGTATGTGTAATAAGTACTAATAGTATAAAATTAACTTATTTTTAAGAAGGTACATATATTAATTAAGAAATTAAGTTTGCCAGGTGAAACGTGGACTGTAAACGATTGATTGATTAATTAAAATCCGAGCCAGCCACCTAATCATCGGCTATATTAGACCACTTTGAAGTTTCTGTATGCATGGGCTGGAATAGCAGTAAATCGCGTTTGCAGTCGTTAAATTTTCCTTTCGGGAGGGGACCCACGGTGGCTAGGTGGTTAAGACGCTGGCTCGCTAGCCTGGAGGTCGGGTGTTCGATCCCTGCATTGACCGACGTGGTTTCCCCCTTGTCAGTGGTGCAGAATGGAGGGCCTGACAAGGACAGCTGTGTAGTCCTTCGGATGAGACGAAAAACCGAGATCCCGTGTATACATTGGAATGCACGTAAAAGATCCCTTGGCAGTTGGAATTCGATATAAGAGTAGGCCGTAATGCCGCTGCCCGGGCAAAATTTCCCTCATAGCACACTGTATGGCGTATGCCCGTCTTCATTAGCCCAGTATAGGAGCAGAACAGTAGGACGTTAAACCCCATTTCATTTCATTTCCTTTCGGGAGGGGTGGGGCTGGGTGCTAAATGTGTCCTATACCGTAAGCTCTACTCCTTCGCCTCTCTCGGGCATTTCAGGATCTGCCCCCCCCCCCCCATGCGCCAGGGGACTATTTTATGTATTGTGATCTATTTCTAGATATATCTTGGTAAGAGGATATCGATGACACACTCTTCATAAAATGCTGGGGGGTTGGATGGCCGAATGGTTAGCACGTGCGTGCTGTATCATACGGCCTGTCATTGAGTCAACTGGCGTGGTTTCGAATCCCCGGTTGTACGTGATAAGTATCTATTTTATTTTTACACATGTGACGGCGTTAAGGGACATAAAAAGTCTGACTATTCATTTTATTCGTGCAATCCAGTGTTACCATAGAAATAGAAGATGTTAATACAACGGGTTAAATACTAGATTCCCGCTACCACGATTCGTAGCCGTCAAATTTTCCAAATTCTTATTCCCACTGTATATTCAACAACACTTTTTGGCGGTTCTAATTTGAACCCGAAATTACTGGAAAATTAGATGCCGCAAATTCTTCTACTGCACTCTGTCTCTTGTTGGATTGTGGTGGTTGTAGCATCTTTCTGGCGATTGAAACATAACCCTTTTTCGCACACTTAAAGTGAGGGAGAGAGAAATGGGGTTTAACGTCCACTCGAAACAAACTAGGTCATTTCGGGACTAACATATGGTTTTAATTTTATTTCAATAATTCGCTTGCGCGCAGGGGTCTTTATCAGTGGGGGGAAACCGGAGGAACCGGAGAAAACCCACGAGGCTGGACAGGCGACCCTACTCTTTGTCACGTACAACCGAGGATTCGAAACCACGGCAGTTGACTCAATGACAGGCCTTGTGATACAGCGCGCGCACGTGCTAACCATTCAGCCACCCACCCCCTCTCGCACTTAAAGTAGCTAAGCCTCTAACTCAATATCATCCAAAGTCTTCGACATTGAAAACACAAATTATTTGTCAATTTAAATCAACATTGATGTTGTGATCTTACCGGGAAAAGATGGGCTTGATGATATCCAATATTTAAGACAAAATAAACATTTTACCATTGGTACACGAATCGTGTACCATAATGCGTTTCAGGCCCATTTTTAACAAGGGACTCGACGAACAAGGCTAGACAATATTCCACAAGTCATGTCAAACGGTGACTGCATAAATATATTCATATCTGGAGAGTATACACAATAAATACTATGTAGACTAGAATAACTAGACGCTAGAGATTGTCATTCGATTGAGACTTCTGGCGTATTTCACCGAACATAACTGATTTGAAATTATAGTAAAAACGGAAACGACTGAATGTAAATCAGTTTATATACATTTATATTACATTATTATATGAAGGGCGACCCATTTGTGTCAATTTCAAGGTCCCAAATATTAGCGATTTAGCTCCTTTAAGTTTTCAACATGTTGTCATACCACTGACACTTGATATCTTTACTTTGTTGTCAACATCTCCATGCTTGGGTGGGGACAAAATATATGTCAGTTGGTTGGTAAAATATATCTCAATGGGTTATATCTCAGTGGTTTAGTAATTTATATCTGAGTGGGTTGCCAAAATATATCTCTGATCAGAGTTTGTTAATTCTTTTTAATAATAAAACTAATATTATATTTATTACATTCTTTTTATAAAGGAAACCTTGGAAACCGTTCTGACATGGGATTCTATTGCCCCCCCCCCTTTTATAAATCCGGTCCTACATGTGAAGTCAATAGCGAAATACCTTAAATTTAAAAAAAAAAATACTGACTTAGCAGAGCCCACCAACAAACATGTGGCAAGGAACAACATCTAGTCGTTCGGATGGGACGAAAACACAATCCTATGTACATGTTGGCGTGCACGTAAAAGAACCCTTGATAAACGTTAAACACAATTCATTCATGCATTGTTTTTCTTGTGCCGCTATACCTCGGGGGTTTGCCTCAGGAAGCAAAATCAAACTTTCTCATTATTTAACAGCCACGCTTATCGGATCTTAAAGGACAATATTGGTGTCAGTCATTATCACATGAATTATTAGTTAGCAGAAATTCGTCCATGTATCTGTTATCACCCGTCACTTCATTCAGTTATATAAAGGGATAACTCGTGTTTTCCTTTTGCGTTCGTCACTTTCTATTGTTGAAACATTGATTACTCATCTATCGTAGCAACGATCTCTGTGATAAAATAATATTTGGAACGTGTTTAACCAGTTCTATCACATATGTGATAATGACTGGCGCCAATATTGTCCTTTAAAACGCCGAACCGGATAACCCAACCGTATTATACAACCCCAATAATCAATATCTTCAGCTGCAACATTCAGATAAGCCAAATAGGCCACCTCTTCACATTTTGGACTTTTATTTGCATACTTCAAAATATATTGTGTAAGATTTAGATAAAGAGCTGACAGTTTTCACTATAATAGATAATGACAAAAGAATATATTGTCGTCGCCCCTGTCTGGACGTCCGTCTGTCTACAGGTCACAATTTTTATCCGATTTTGACGAAACTTGAAATATAGATCTATCTCCCAAAGCTCTCTGTACCTTTCGACATTGGCATGTACCGGAACGTAACTTCCCGGAGTATGGCCACTGATTGTACGAAAAATCACATTTTTAACGTGTGGACACTCTAGAGGTCACAATTTTTATTCGATATTGATGACATTTTAATGTATGTTTATAACCCAAAGATCTCGGTTCATGTCAATATTCGCGCGTATCGGACTGTGTTTTTAGCTTGTTCTTTGCCCAGCTCTTGCAAAATGTGGGCGTAGCTTGCATGGGAACCGCTTGTTACATTAAATTGTTAAATGGCGACTGTTTCAATCCGTTCAAAATCACAACCATCCGATGGTCTAGAGAGTTGATTATGGAATCTTTACACATAATTTACATAATGCACCTTTAAACGAATCTTATTTACTTTGGAAACCAAACTGAAATCCGGACGCCCACACCCCCAACCTTACCGATGATATAAAACAAACAGATTAAAAATGAAATTCAAAAATATAATTTAAACAATAACATATATATATATATACATCATATTTAAATCTGTTAAATGTATCAATGAATTACTTCGTTCATCAACATCCTTGAACATAGTTTGGAAGGTAAAGTGATATACAATCTCATAGTTATTAATAACCATGGCAACACCCAAATACTATTAGTAGACATGTTATAAGATGTTAAAGATACATTATTTAAAGGGAAAATAACACTCTTGCTGGCTTGACAGCTCCAGAAAATAAAAAATAGCCTTATTCTAAGTACTAGATGTGTTAGTGTCCTACCTGTTGTGTAAATTATCCATTAAATCCTATTTTACTTGTCCAGAGAGTTCAAAAATATTTTTAAATCCAAGTAACCTTTGAAAAGCTTTACGTCAGGCTTTTCAAATCATTTCGTTGAATTTTTCCAATTTTTAAAATTAGGTAAAATGAAATTTGTATCATCAATTAATTGGAATATTGTATAATAGTACATTTTGTTGACCAGAATAATGATTGGGAAATATTATTTAGTTGCAACAAGAGTGGTATTGAGCCTTTAAGAGTTTAATAAAGAGTTGGCCATAATAATTCAAATATAGATGATCAAAAAAGGGAATACTGAAAATATCTTTCAAATTACTTTATTCTGAGCCAAGTTATCTCTGTTTGTAGTTTTGACAAGATGTGTGCATAGTGGTAACCATGCTCTTAGCCTCGCTTTCCCATTTTTAAATTAAATTTTTAAATGGCGAATCGTTCTAATCTAGTTGAAATCTCGAGTATCCGATGCCATCGATGGTCTTGTTTTGTTAATAAATGTCTAATTAATAATTTATATAACAAAGAAAGACCTGCAATAGGCAGATTTAGCTCTTGTATAATGTATGTTTAAACACATAGTATCAAACATTCCAATTAGACTACTTGGTTATATTTGTGAACATGTTATAAGACGTTTAACAAGTAGTATCAAACATTCCAATTAGACTATATTGGTTATATTTGTGTACAAGTTATAGTATACCTATTTGTTAAACATCGTATAACGGTTATACGATGTTTAACATAGTTATAGTTAAAGATACATTATGGGAGATAAGATAAAGAGATGGCAGTTCTCGCTATAATAGTTAAAAACTAGATAGTGTAAAGGTAATTTGCTGAAAATTTCAGTCAAATTGATCCACTATGAGCCGTGAAAGAAGCGGTTGAAATTTTTTGCATAGTCTCGGTCATCATTACTAAAATCATTAATATAAACAGCATAGTCTCGATTATCCACTTTTTTTTATTTTAAAATTATCAATGGCCGTTAGTGGCATATAGGAATCTAATCCAGCCAACATCGAAGGCTAGCCTTGACATCGAGAGTTTATTATGGTCTGGATAAGTTAATTAATGTCTAATTGATAATTTAGATAACATTTCAGACCTAAAGAAAGACTTGTAATAAGCAGAATTTGCTCTTGCATAATGCATGTTTAATAAACTATAGCACTTAACTAAAGACTTATTGAAAACAGCTGCTGATTTATTAAGCTTAAAAACGCCAAGAGAATACAGGTCGGAACGTCGCCTAAATAAACCAGTATATATTTTTTATAAGTATGTTATATAATCCTTATAAGACCCTTATAAGACATATAGAAATAGATTTCACTAAAAATAAAACACACTTATATGGATATACTACTTCTGAATTTATTAACATGCTACGTTTCGATACACATACAGATATCGTTTTCAAGCAAATAATGATAATCCAATTAATGATTAATGATCAATTGAGTTTGATTACAAAATACCATCGACGTTTTGTTTAACCAATAGTTAAAGATACATTATGGAAGATTCGATAACGAGTTGGCAATTCTCACTATAATAGTTAAAAACTAGATAATGTAAAATGAATAATTTGACAAGACGTGTGTAATAATTTCAACCACCGTACTGGTTGTTCGAAGCTAAGTCTCGCACCTCCATTTTATTTTAGCTTAAATCAAAATATGGCTGAACTGTTCTAATCTGTTTAATATCGAAGAAATCCGATGTCATCGAGAGTTGATTATGGCCTGGATAAGTTAATTAATGTCTAATTAATAATTTAGAAAACATTTAAGACCTAAAGAAAGACCTGCAATAGGCAGATTTAGCTTATGCAGACTGTATGTTTAAATGGTTAGTTCTAGATGTTACAATTTGGAACAAAAATTCATAAAGATTCACAAAGGTCTTGAATGGTTCCGGGGATGTGTTCCAGAATAATATGCTGTAAATGTATATATAATATACAAAAACTACGTTTATTGTGTTTTCAAAGAAACACAACATGTATTAAACTATTGTCAAATCAGAGAGAAAGAAATGGGGTTTACCGTCCACTCGACACAAAATAGGTCATTTCGGGACTAACATATGGTTTAATTTTATTTCAATAATTCGCTTAGCCGTGGGAGGAAACCGGAGGACCCGGAGAAAACCCACGAAGATGTACAGGCGACCCTACTCCTTGTCACGTACAACCGGGAAATCGAAACCACGCCAGTTGACTCAATGACAGACCATACAGCGCGCATCCGCTAACTATTCGGTCGTGGATCCCCGCATTGTCAAATCAGCTAACTATTTTAATAGACATGTACAAAGTTTTATAATGACATAATGAATCGCTTCTGTTCCAGAATAATAATTATATACCAAACACTAAGTCACATCTGTTTCCATGGTGATTAATTCCGAGAACTCTCCAATTTATATATTAAAGGGGTATTATGGAAGATTTGATAAAGAGCTGACAGTTCTCACTATAATAGTTAATAACTAGATAATGTAAAGGGAATTTGCTGAAAATTTCAGTCAAATTGATCTACTCTGAATCGAGATATTTGCTTTTGAATTTTAGGCCTAGCCTCGATCATCATTACTAACGTCGGGACGATAAAAAAAATAGCCTCGATTATCCACTTTTAAATTGATTAAATCAATGAGCGTTGAGCAGTAAATCGGATTCAAATCCAGTAAACATAGCAGGCTAGCCATGACATCGAGAGTTGATTATGGTCTGGATAAGTTAATTAATGTCTAATTTTAATATAGATATCATTTTAGGCTTAAAGAAAGACCTGCAATAGGCAGATTTAGCTCTTGCATAATGTATGTTTAAGTTGATGTCGTATCATGTGTTATAAAGATATCTTGGACGGTTTATGAGATATGCCCCGAAAAAACGACGAGAACGGAAGGAAAGCCGGACAGAAGGATGAATCCAGTTTCAGTATTCCACTCTTCACTTCATTCTACGCGGGATAATATATAACACTGGTAGTCTCGAACTAGTTGGTCTTCAACCAGTATACAGAACGTCCTCTGAAACAAAAACAAAAACAAAAACAAATAAACAAATAATAAAGCCCGACCGAACTGTAGAATTAAATTAAGACATGTCTATAATTTTGGTTGTTTTGGAACCTATATAATCATAAATTTAATAAAAATATGTTTCTATTCATTATTATCAACTTCGTTATTTCGTGACTATTACTATACAAAACCTCAACATACAGCAGAGAGAGAGAGAGAGAGAGAGAAATGGTGTTTAACGTCCACTCGACACAAACTAGGTCATTTCGGGACTAACATATGGTTTAATTTTATTTCAATAATTCGCTTGCGCGTAGGGGTCTTATGCAGTGGGAGGAAACCGGAGAAAACCCACGAGGTTGGACAGGTGACCCTATTCCTTGTCACGTACAACCGGGGATTCGAAACCACGCCAGTTGACTCAATGACAGGCTTTATGATACAGCGCGCACGTGCTAACCATTCGGCAATCCACCACCCCTCCCCTTCTCAACATACAGCAACATCGGTTCACTGATAAAGGTGTTATACTGGAAACAAACTGAAATGAAATGGGGTTTATCGTACTACTGTGCAGCTCTACCAATCGAGTTTCCGCCAAACAAATGCCGCCCCCTCCACCCGTACCACGACGGATTTCTAAATGCTAAACCCAATTTCTGTCTTGCTGTGTTTTGTCATAGTAACGCAAAGATGGCGTAGCAGGTGAAACTAACCGACGTCACATTTTGGCCCTGTAAATCCTTCTTGGCAGCCTACCGCACCACATCTACCAGTGACGACATCACATGGTGTATTATCATAACAGTTACCGCAATTGCTAGAACAGCCATCTCCATAGTAACCATTTTCACAATCTAAAATATAACATAGTTATTGATCATAACAGTAACGACAATTTCTAGAACAGCCATCACCATGGTAACCATGCTCACAATTAAATATAACATAGACGGTACATGGTTTGTTATCGTAACAGTTACCATAGTTAGTAGACGAACCATCACCATAAAAACCATCTTTACAATCTAAAATAGAACAGAGACAGTACATGGTTAATGGCCATAACAGTTACAATAGTAACTAGAACAGCCATCACCATAGCAACCCTTTCAACAATCTAAAATATAACATAGAATATATACGGTTTATTATCACAACCATTGCCATAGTTGTTAGAACAGCCCAGTCATCACCATGGTAACCATCTTTACAATCTAAAATATTACATAGATGGTACATGGTTTATTATCATAACAGTTATCATTGTTAATAGAACAGCCATCACCATAGAAACCATCTTTACAATCTAAAATATCATAGATGGTACATCTTTACAATCTAAAATATCATAGATGGTACATCTTTAAAATATAAAATAGAAGGCACATATAAAAAAAAGTCATCACCATAGTAACCATCGTCACAATCTAGCCCTTTTCAACTTTTCTAGACCAAAAACATAAACCAAAATAGGCATAGTAAAGGCTCGACCAAGAAGCGAAAGAATGTGTGGCACTACATTGATAAAAATCAAAAACAATTAGTGGACTGAGTCCAAAGAACCTACCTATCTCACAGTAATCTCCCCTTCTGCCAGGTTGGCATCCGTCAGTACAGGTTCCATTCTTCTGGAAACAGGCCGGAGTCGTTGTACCGTCTACCTCTTTACAATTTACACTACAAGCTTCATTACAGTAGTCACCATAGTTACCAGTTTTACAGCTGTTACATTTACCCCCCGTTCTCTCACAACCACCATGACAATTGGAATTACACACCTCCTCGCACCTGTCACCATAGTAACTGTCATAACATTTTATACATTTTCCACTTGTCCTATCACATCCTTCTTCACACGTGGAGCTACATTTGTAGCCACAACTGTCACCATAGTAACCAGTCTTACACGTTATACATTTCCCGTTGTCCTTTTCACAAATGCAATGTTTATCACATTTTAAATCACACGTGTCTCCATGGTAACCACTCAAACACTCACGGCATTTACCAGTAACTTTGTCACACCCACCTTCACACGTAACTCTACATAACCTATTACATTTGTCACCATGGTGTCCGTGCATACAGCTGTTACATTTGCCAGCTATTTTGTCACATCCGCCAACGCACGTCACTCTACATAATATGCTACAGTCGTCGCCATAGTGACCACGGAGACAGTAGTTACATTTACCGGATTCTTTGTCACATCCCCTATCACATGTAACACGACATAACCTTTCGCAGTTGGCGCCATAGTAACCGTTATGACATTTAATACATTCACCCAGCGATTGTTTACACCCTCCATCACACGTGGTTCTGCATAGCATATTGCATGTGTCACCATAGTAACCCATAATGCACCGATTGCATTTTCCGGTTTGTTGATCACATCCGCCGTAATCACATTTAGAACTACATGGCATATTACACATTTCACCATAGAAACCATCAACACATTTCAGTACGCATGTACCATTTTGATAACACCGCCTTTGATTTTGCCGCAATAAGCATCTATCGCTACAAGTAAGATTGCAGAAGTCGCCGGCCATATTAAATTTACAATCCTTACATTTTCCGTCAATTCTACCACAGGAATCTAGACAGTTACTGGGGCAACTGGCAGTACATTGGTCACCATAGTAACCCAACTTACAACTATGGCAACGGCCATCTCTTGAACATACACCACCTTCACAACCTTCAGGACATTTTAAGTCGCATTTATCTCCGTATTGCCCGGCTTCACAACTATCACAGGTGCCACCATCTTGATCGTTGTAACATTGGTGGCAATTTGAACAATTCTTATCACAATTGTCGCCATATTTCTTTTCAACACACGTGTGACACCTACCGCTATATTTATCACACCCGTAGAAACAGTATTCACTACATTTCTGTCGACACGAAGATCCGTAATAACTTATTTGACTACTGGTATGATGATGTGTCTGACAGTTGCATCTTCCGTTCTCTCGGTTACATCCGTTGCGACAGTTACATCTTTGATCGCACATGTCACCATACCAACCAGATTTACAGACGTAACATCTGCCCGTATCAGGATAACATGAATCCATGTAACATTTTGTATCACATTTCTGTTCACAGTTATTACCGTAATATCCAGCTATACAACCATAAGTACAATATCCGTTAACAGGATTGCAGGTGCCTAGTTGACAGTTCTTACTACATGCAGTACACGAGTTACCTGGATCTTCATAATACCCATCCTCACATCCAGCCTCTAATAAAAAAAATATTCTTTTAAAGCATATTATTTATATAAACAAAGGGGCTAAACGAAGGGGGCGCAATGGGATTAGAATATTTGCACCCCCCCCCCCCCTTTCAACCCCCAATCCCTAACCCCTGACTCAAGGATATTTGATAATTGCGGCTTTAGCTTCATAGATGGAAAACTTACCGATGTCACATTTTGGTCCTGTAAAACCATCCTTGCATCCCTCTATACCACAATTGCCAGTAACAGAATCACACTGTTTATTATCATAACAGTTACCACAATTACTAGAACAGCCATCACCATAGTAACCATGTTCACAATCTAAAATATAACATAGACGGTACCATGGTTACTAGAACAGTCATCACCATAGCAACCATCTTTACAATCAAAAATATAACATAGGTTTATTATCACAACAGTTACCATAGTTCCTAGAACAGTCCTCACCATAGTAACCATCTTTACAATCTAAAATATAACATAAACAGTACATGGTTTATTACTAGAACAGTCATCACCATGGTAACCATCTTTACACTCTAAAGGTGCATGGTTTACTTTTACCACGGTTACTAGAACAGTCAATAAAAAAATTCAAACACAAACACATCACAAAGACATAACATAGTTACCGCCATTTTCAAAAGGAAATCAAAAAAGGTTGCACATTAAAAGACATTTCGAGCAAAGACTCTAAACAAGCAAACTAACAAAAAAAAACCCCAAAAACCCAAAAAACCAAAGAAGCAAGAAAAATAAGTTTTAAGATTGCATTAAATGGCCTGGTTCATATCTTTAACATCGAATTTCTTACTATGGATTATAAAAAAGCACATCTTGAGTTTAGATGTGATTACGTATGTGCAAGAACAACTTACCATCTCCACAGTTATCTCCCCTTGTACCGGGTTGACATCCTTCAATGCACGTTCCATTGGACTGGTAACAAATAGGAGTTATTTTACCGACAACAGATTTACATGTTGAACTGCAGATTTCATTGCACGTATCTCCATAGTAACCACTGACACAACTGTCACATTTACCATCTAGTCTGTCACATCCGGAAATACAGTTAGAATTACACGAGTTCTCGCACGTTTCACCATAGAAACCAGTCTTACAGCTGTTACATTTTCCTCCCTTCCGGTCACATCCACCATAACAGTTGGAATTACATTCATGCTCACATTCGTCACCATAAAAACCGATTATGCAGCTGTAACATTTAGCCCCCTCTCTGTCACAACCACCATTACAGTTGGCGTTACACACACCCTCGCACATGTCACCATAGTAACCAGTATAACACCTGATGCATTTACCTGTCGCCCTATCACAGCCGTAATCACAGGTGGCGGCGCATGGGATGTTACATACATCACCATAGTAACCACTCACGCAAGCGTTGCATTCCCCACTTTCATGGTGACATTTACAATTTGTGATACATTCTTTATTGCATATTTCGCCATAGAAACCACTTGCACATTGAACGCATCTCCCCGTTTCTTTATCGCACCCTCCTTCACACGTGCCTCTACATAACTTACCGCATTTGCTGCCATAGTGACCCTGAATACAAGAAACACAATCACCCGATACTTTATCGCACCCTTCAATGCAGGTAACTCGACATAAATTATGGCATTTGTCACCATAGTGACCACGAATACACTTGCTACAATTACCCGATATTTGGTCACATTCACCCCTACAGGTGGCTCTACATAACATATTACATTGTTCACCATAGTAACCACTCTGGCATTTATGACACTGACCGGAAGTTGGACTACACCCATCAACACATGTAGTGCCACATAACCTATTACATGTATCACCATAGGTACCGGGTGTGCAGGTGCTACATTCGCCAGTTTTCTGATCACACCCGACCTTACATGCACATTCAAGGTCACACATTTTGCCGTAGAAACCATCAACACATTTAGATACGCATGCACCATCTTGATAACACCGCCTTTGATTTCCATTCGATTTGCAACCGATGCTACAAGGAAGAATGCAGAAATCGCCCGCCATATTGTTTTTACAGTCTCGGCATTTGCCGTCAAGTCTGTCGCATGGTCCAAGACAGTTGCTCGGACAACTCTTAGTGCAAAAGTCACCAAAGAAACCGATTTTACAGTCCTTACATTTAGCGTCAATTTTATTACATGGACCAAGGCAGTTACCAGGACAACCCTCAGTACAATGATCACCATAGAAACCGACTATACATTCCCTACATTGAGCGTTAGTTCTATTGCATGGGCCAAGGCAGTTACCAGGACAAAAATCAAGACAATAATCACCAAAGAAACCCACTTTGCAATTATGACAATAGCCATTGCGTTCACAAACGTTTCCATGACAACCTGCAGGACATATTCGATCACAATAATCCCACGCCTGGCCTTCTCCACAATAATAACACGTGCCGCCAATCTGGTCACTGAAACAGCCAAAATCACACCCCAAACACATCTGGTCACACTGTTCTCCAAATAGGCCTTCATTACAGTAGTTACATCTACCGGTTAACTTATCACACCCATGGTGACAATTAGCACTACATTCCAAAACACACGCGGTCCCATAGTAACTTACTTCTCCAAATCCACCTTGACAACCACATTCACCCGTCACCTGGTTACATCCATGAGGGCAGTCACATGCTATATCGCACGTTTCTCCATACCATCCATCTTCACAATAATAACATATCCCTGTGTAACGATAGCAACCATACAACCCACAATTCAAGGGACACTGGAAGTCACAGGTGTTGCCATAAAAGCCATCGTCGCATGCGTCAGTACAGAAGCCGTTGTCAGGATTACATCTTCCGTTAAGGCAATTCTCGCTACAGGCCGTACACGAGTTCTGCGAATCGTCATAATATCCTTCACTGCAACCAACTTCTAAAAAATATGGAAATACAAACTTCTAATCAGTATAGTCCGTAAATGGGTACAATTGGGGATTGATCTACACCACGATAACCCCCAAACCAAGCCTGAAGGCCCCTACTTTAGGGGCTCCGGGGATCTCGCACCCTCCCTTACACATCGCAAAAAAATCGTTGACAATTTGATTGTAGATGGTTCTTTATATCCTGAATAAAATGGCCACCAATAAAATGGCCACCAAACTACGTGATAATATTAAATTCTGTAGGGTTCCCTAGCACACCACACTCCCAGTCCGTTCCTGAACCAAGTGCGGATCCCTAACTTCTTTCACTGTTCTCAGAACAATTCAGTAAGAACCTGTGACGGTTGGAAGAGTAAATCCACACCGACCCTTCTACGTGTATATTTAACCGAGTGTAAAGTGGACTGCAAAGGGAATATCACACTGCCCCGCCCCAATAGATAACACTAACCTGTAAACGGTATATTACACTCCACCCACCCAGAGGTGCATCCAGAAATTTTTGCAGGAGGGAGTTTGCCAGGTTCCCGGTAAGGAAATTTGACAGTTGGCAATGCATAATGCCATCATCGTCTCCAAATTACATAGGCATACATACACATTGGGCTTTTTAAAGAGAGAGAGAGAGAGAGAGAGAGAGAGAGAGAGAGATGGGGTTTAACGTCCACTCGACACAAACTAGGTCATTTCGGGACTAACATATGGTTTAATTTTATTAACATAATTCGCTTGCGCGTAGGGGTCTTTAGCAGTGGGAGGAAACCGGAGGACCCGGAGAAAACCCACGAGGTTGGACAGGCGACCCCACTCCCTGCCACGTACAACCGGGCATTCGAAACCACGCCAGTTGACTCAATGACAGACTTTATGATACAGCGCGCGCACGCTAACCATTCAGCCACCCAACCCCCCTTTTAAAGAGAGAAATCCAATATTTATAACGAATTAATAGGATCGCATTGTGATTCAATTTCATTGAAGCAAAGCACAAATTGTGATATCACATATGTGTATATCACTATCACTAATATAGATGGTATTTTACACTCCACCCCACTGAAATCGACCCTACCCCACCGAATAACACTAACCTGTAGAGGGTATGATACACCCCCCAACCCCCACTCTACCTCACCAGATAACACTAACCTGTAGAGGGTATGATATACCTACCCCACCCCCACTCTACCTCACCAGATAACACTAACCTGTAGAAGGTTATGATACACCCACCCCACCCCCACTCTACCCCACCAGATAACACTAACCTGTAGAAGGCTATGATACACCCACCCCACCCCAACTCTACCCCACCAGATAACACTAACCTGTAGAAGGCTATGATACACCCACCCCACCCCGAATCTACCCCACCAGATAACACTAACCTGTAGAAGGCTATGATACACCCACCCCACCCCAACTCTACCCCACCAGATAACACTAACCTGTAGAAGGGTATGATACACCCACCCCATCCCCACTCTACCCAACCAGATAACACTAACCTGTAGAAGGCTATGATACACCCACCCTACCCCCACTCTACCCAACCAGATAACGCTAACCTGTAGAAGGGTATGATACACCCACCCCACCCCCACTCTACCCCACCAGATAACACTAAACTGTAGAAGGGTATATTGCCACCCACCCTACCCCATCAAATAATACTAACCTTTAGAGGGTATAATACACCCCACCGAATAACACTTACCTGTACAGGGTATAAAACAACCCAGCCACCCCAACCACCCCTCTCACCCAACTCTACCCCACCCCACCAGATAATACTAAAATGTAGAGGGTATAATACACCCCACCCACCCCGCCCCACACAACTCTACCTAACCCGTAGAGGGTATATTTCACCCCGCCCGTACCGACCCCACTCTACCCCACCCACCCCACCGAATAACACTAACCTGTACATACACCACATGTTTTCATGCACATGACATCCATATCAGTCATGGGATATTTGTATTGTTTATCACTAGGTGTACAGTCGTTAATATTTTCATTACAGAAGTTGGTATCAGACGAATCTTCACATTGATCTAAACCTGTAAATATTATTATTATTATTATTAATATCAGACTATATAAACTATTTACCTCTATGTAGCATGGGAGTCATACTGGCTCAGTAGTTAAGACACTGATTCGCCAGCCTTTTGGTCCCGTTGCATGGCCGATAAAGTTCCTTGTCAGTGGTGATCGACGGAGGACTTCTAGCCCCTGGTTCCGATATTGGCCGATAAAATTTCTCGGTTTTTTCCGTCTCGGATTCCAGTTGTCAGTGGTGCAGGACGGAGGACATTAAAAAAGACAACTGTCTAGTCGATTGGATGGAACGAAAAACCGAAGACCCGTGTACACTTTGGTGTATAAGAGTACGAAGAAGATCCCATATTTGGACAAAATTTGCCCCATAGCACACTGGATGGCGTATGACATCGTCCTGGATGTCGTACGACATCGTCCTTTATGGCGTATGCATTAGCCCTGTAGGTGCTGGAAGGTACAACATTTTACATCAGACAGCAGTTGAATTCAAAACATCAAGGGTTATTTACGTGCACGACGGAGGACGGGGGCCTAATGGTTTAACGCCTGTGCGTGAAATCATACGGACTGTCATTGAGTCAAGTGGCGTGGTTTCGAATCTGCTTGTGCCGAGTGGACGTTAAACCCCATCTCTCTCTCTCTCTCTCTCTCTCTCTCTCTCTCTCTCTCCCCTCTCTCTCTCCCCATCGAACTAAAGATTGTTGAGGCCTGTAGGTCCTCTGGTTTTCGTTCGATCCGAATGAGTAGATGCTTTTCCTTGTCTGGCACTCCATCACTCACCACGGACAAGAGGGAACCACGCTGGATAATTCCGGGAACTTTCCCTGCCAGCAGGGGGGTCAATCCAGCTTCGGAACTCTTGATTGATTAGTGAGCATGTACCTTACTCACTGAGCCAACGTGGCACCCCTCATCTGTGGAAATACTAATCATTGCATGAAATTGAACAAATTTGAACGGGATTATCTCGTTTCCATAAAAATAAAATGTACGCACAACGGTTGACATTTCGTATGTATCGCGTAATGACAAAACATGTCGACTAAAGATAATGACATCTCGCATGTGTCACGTCATAACATAAAATGTCGACTAAAGATAATTACATCTCGCATGTGTCACGTAATAACATAAAATGTCGACTAAAGATAATGACATCTCGCATGTGTCACGTAATAACATAAAATGTCGACTAAAGATAATGACATCTCGCATGTGTCACGTAATGACATAACGTGTCGACTAAAGACAGTTACATCTCGAATGCGTCACGTAATGACATGGCCCGCCTATTCAAGCCACTCTATTATTCTAAAAAGAGCAGAGATGAGAGAGAGAGAGGGAGAGAGAGAGGGAGAGAGGGAGAGAGGGGGGGGGGGCGATTAACGTCCACTGAGCATAAAATAGAAAATACCTTAAACCATACAGGCCGTATATGACACTTAACTTAATTTACAAATGTCTGCCAATGACGATAATGGCGACGATGATGTTCTGAAAGTGTTTGTGATGATAATTATAATAAATAGTAAATACCTTTAGCCAGAGAGACCGATATGAATAATATGATGCACAAATTCCACAACTCCATGCTTACTGGTCTCGTAGATCTATCTGTATAAACAGACTCGACTGAATTCTGTGTGTTATTGAAATGTGTTGATGCGTCTAACAGAGAAATGTGAGAGCTTTTAAAGAGATATAAATAGCTCCAGCAATAATAGAATAGATCATAGTCTTTAGCATGAACAAACGGAGGAGGATAATAAAATAAATTACTATACACTATAATATTGTGTTTAATCATTTAACACAGTGTGTTAGTGTAATGTTTCCATACCCAGGGCCAATGCCAGAATATTCTGTAGTGATAATGTGCATCCCCCTCCCACGCTCTTAAAAATGAGTTACCAACATCAAATGTTTAAAACAGATGTTTCGTAGACAAAATGAAACGCATAAATCATACCTGATGTAGGCCAGGGATTGTTTTTACAGAATTCTTTACAGTTCACATTGATAGATCCATTGTACAAAACTCTAGCCACCAAAGCTCAGTATTTTCCCTCTAACCCGCAAAGGTCAGTATCGTGGCACTATAATCCACAAAAGGTCAGTATTGTTTCCTCTAACCCGCAAAGGTCAGTATTGTGGCTCTCTAATCTCCCCAAGCTTAGTATTGTGGCCCCTAACCCCTACAGCTCAGTATTGTGGCCCCCTGACACCTACAGCACAGTATTGTGGCCCGCTGACCCCCCAAGCCCGGTATTGTGACTCTCTAACCCGCCCAAGCTCAGAACTGTGTCCCTCTAACACTCTAATCTCAGTATTGTGGCTCTCTAACCCCTGAAACTCAGTATTGTGGCTCTCTAACCAGCAAGCTCAATATAGTAGCCCTCTGACCCTCAAGCTCAGTATTGTGGATCTATAACCCTTAAAGTTCAGTATTGTTCCCTCTAACCCTCAAAGGTCAGTATTGTTCCCTCTAACCCTCAAAGGTCAGTATTGTTCCCTCTAACCCTTAAAGGGCAGTATTGTGCCCCTCTAAGTCCCAAATTTTAATATCAGTATTTTGCCCTTCTAACTCGCAAAGGCCAGTCAGTATTGTGCCCCTCTAACCCTAAATATAGATCGCGCCGTTCAAGATTATGATGGAAATCCCACTGTGCTATGTCCCGGACTACTCTTATATCTAATTCCAACCTCGGTTTTTCGTCCCATCCGAAAGACTATACGTTGTCCCTTGCCAGGCCCTCTATCATGTACCATTGACAAGGGGGAAACCACACCGAAAAATCCAGATGAACTTTCTCGGCCAATGCAGGGATCGAACACGTGACCCCCAGGTTAGCGAGCCATGGCCCTAACTGCAGAGTCACCGTAGTACCTCGCTAGTCATGAAGTCTGTCATTGAGTCAACTGGCGGGGTTTCGATTCCCCGGTTGTACGTGACAAGGAGTAGGGTCGCCTGTCCAACCTTGTGGGTTTTCTCCGGTCCTCCGGTTTCCTCCCACTGCTAAAGACCCCTACGGGCAAGCGAATTATTGAAATAAAATTGAACCATGTGTTAGTCCGGAAATGACCTAGTTTGTGTCGATTGGACGTTAAACCTAGTTTGTCTCTCTCCCTCTCTCTAAAATGGACAATGAAAAATGAATATATTGAATATTTCAATCAAATTAGTTTATTTTGAGTGTTTTAATTTTTGACAAGATAGTCTCGATTACCAAGTATCATTGTTACGATAATGAACAAAGTCTCGATTATCCATTTTTCCCCCGTTATAATATCAAACAACGCATGTGTTCTAATTAATTCAATAGCATGGTCTGGGGAGTTAATTATGGAGAGAGAGAGAGAGAGAAATGGGGTTTAACGTCCACTCGACACAAACTAGGTCATTTCGGGACTAACATATGGTTTAATTTTATTTACATAATTCGCTTGCGCGTAGGGGTCTTTAGCAGTGGGAGGAAACCAGAGGACCCGGAGAAAACCCACGAGGTTGGACAGGCGACCCTACTCCTTGCCACGTACAACCGGGGATTCGAAACCACGCCAGTCGACTCAATGACAGACTGTATGATACAGCGCGCACACGCTAACCATTCAGCCATCCAACCCCCCAGTTAATTATGGACTTTTCATCTGCAGAAATGTCTAAATAACAATTCCACAATATTTGAAGCCAGAAAAAAAGAACTGTAGTAGGCAGATTTAGCTCTTACATAAATCATATTTAAGATTTATCTTGTTGTTGTGATGTCTTTTTTTTTGTCTTTTTTTTTTCTTTTAAGAAAATTGAAACAATTGTGTTGCGATTTTTTTTTTTGATGTGTTTGATTTTTTTTTTTTTTTTTTTTTGATTTTTTTTTAGAAAATTGAAACAGCACGATTTTCCTCTACATTTCACAACAGCCGAACTATCTTACAACTTTACCATGATGTATACAGAACGTTCCTGAAATATCAAAATGGAAACCTAGAACATGATAGAAATAATGAAATCAAATATTCTACTTTTCGGGGACACGGTTGCTAAGTGGGTAAGACACTGGCTCGCTAGCCTGGAGGTCGCGAGTTCGATCCCTGCATTGGCCGAAAAAGTTCATCCATGTTTATATTCCAAAGATCTCGGTTCCTTTCCATATTGGCGCATAACGGACCGTATATTCCTAGATTATACCACCGTTACATCATAATTATGGTTGAGTTCGAATTTCGGAATTCGGAGAGAAAATGTCCGTCACAATCGCTGCTCCCCTTTACGCAAATAGTGTAAAAGCATGTAATACCGTGCCACAAATATATGTTACGCTTGATCTTGGGGTTCTTTTACTTGCGCACCAGTGTGTACACGTGACTTCGTGGTTTTGTTTCACAATATGGTAAGCTACAACATACTCGTTTATCACTTTAAAGTCGCTAAACTACAACATACTCTTTTACGTGCACGCGAAATGACTTAGTTTGTGTCAAGTGGACGTTAAACCCCATTTCTCGTTCTATCTATTTCTCAATTAAATATTAGATAACTAATTAGAATACAATGATCAGTGTAAAATTTTTAATATTTTTCATTTGTATTATTTATTTTGAAACTAGAACAGCCAGCTCTTCATCTAAATCTTACATACTTCAACTTTTATGAGAGTATGATATTAATGATTTGTCTCGTTTGTCCAGTGTCGTTGCTACAGTAATAAACATTCTACACTACATCCGCCAACACTTATAACTTCGCTCAGAATAAAGTAATTTGAATAAAATTGGCAATATATTCATTTTTCATGATGTATTTTTGAACTATTGTAGCAAGAACGAACATCTCTTTAACTAAATCTTACATAATGTATCTTTAATAGGAGATGGTTCTCTCGGCCTAAACTATTTGTTAAGGCCAGCGCAATTTTCGTCAAGGTCGCTGAGATGTAAATAACGTTAGGGCACGTTATTAATGGCGAGATTGAAGGTTAGGGTTAGGGTAAGAATTAGGGCTAGTTCCAGGGTTAGGGTTAGGGTAAGCATTAGGGCTAGGTTGGGATTAGCGCTAGCCCTGTTTACATCACGTGACCTTCGGCCAAACCTGAAGTTAGCCTTATCAATTAGATCTAACCTGTTCTCAAGGTTTATATACTGCGTATGTTTATTGCGTATCGGTATTTATTATGTAAGCTGGTGAACTACGTAGAAAATCGAAAATTCTGGATAAAATACACATGTCTGTTTTTGTTACTTTCAAACATTTTCTGAGGTTAGGTTGCCCTACCTTAATAATAATCTAATACTACAGAGCATATGTGTAACAAAAATATTCATTTAACACTTAAAAAGAAAAATATTTTGTTATTCAGTAGACGAAAAACAACAAGGAAAAACAATTCTGCGCGGACTATATGCACCGGGAATCATGCATGGCGTCATTGCAGTCATCTTGTAACATAACATCAAACATCAAACATCACTCGGGAATTCAATGCGTCAAAGGAACGAGCATGCAAAGATTTTAATGTAGATCGTACAGGTAAAGGTAAAGCCTGAGGATTTTTTTTTGAAGATCTTCACCGTAAGTGAATTAACGAGAGCGTCGGATCAGGGATCATTAAAATTAATTTTCAAATGTGGATGAAAACTGATAACAGAAAAGTCTTTCACACGAGTTATCCCCCGTTAATTGATATGTGGACGCGAGTGAGTGTAGAAAGAGAGAGAGAGATAGAGAGGGTTCTTTGCGCGTAGGGTTCTTTGGCAATGGGAGGAAACCGGAGGACCCTTAGAAAACCCACGAGGTTGGACAGGCGACCCCACTCCTTGTCACGTACAACCGGGGAATCGAAACCGCACCAGTTGACTCAATGGTAGACCTTATGATACATTCGGCCATCCAACGGTTCAGACAAAATACAAATGACGGTGATTATGTCCTAAAAATATAAAGCAATGGAGTTATGTAAGAGCTAAATATGCCTAATGTAGATCTTTTGTTTGGCCTCACATGTTAAATAATTCATAAATTGGACATTTATTCACATGCCAAGCCCATAATCAACGCTCTAGACCATCGGATGCTTTTGATTTTCAACGTATTTATTAGACGCTGTTCCTTTCCAGACACTCTGTCCTCCACCCTGCATCATTGAAAAGGGGAAACCACACTGAAAGATCCCGGGGAACTTTCTCGGTCAACACCGGGAACCAAACCCGGACCCTATGGGTTGTGACCCAACGTCTGACTACTAATAATTGCTTGCATCCTCCTGTCCATGCAAACTCTGCTAAAGTTCTTCTCCATCCACTCCCAGGATTTTAACCCGGGACCTTCGAGGCGATAGTCAAGTGTCTCCCCTCCGTTACAAGGAACCAGAGGTGGGAACAAGCCCAGGAACCTCGAGGTCCGAGTCGAGTCCCAAGTCGCAACACCTCGAATCCGAGTCAAGTCCCAAGCCGCCGCCCATCGAGGCATTGTCGTTTACCAAGTTGCCGCATCTCGAGTCCCAAGTAGCAGACTGACATAAGTACCGGGTCGAGTCGAGTCCAAGTTCCGCCCAAGTCGCCATTTTATCAAATTAGTCAACACTTCATAGCGAATAAGTTATGAGCTTCACCGGGACTCGAGTCCTTAGCTTTGTGAAGTCCGAGTCAAGTCTCGAGTCGCGAGCTGGGTCTGCAACCAAGCCCCATATTATTATATACTATTCAAAAAAAAGTAGGGGATATTTGATTTTTATGTGTTATTAAAGTCACCTAATGAAACTGACGAAGAAACAAATGACAAAATGAAATGAAGTTCACATTCATCGATTTATTCCAAATGATCGTTAGACTAAGTAAGGCACAGACTGACCATTATAAGGGTAAAATGATACCCGGGGTCAAACAGCAAAGTTACCACAGCATCACAACCAAGTCAGTAACGGGTAAATCCTCCTCTGTTTGCCAAACAAGCATTGATCCGACGTGGCATACTCCTAATGAGACGTCTAAGGTCATTTTGGTCCAGATTGTCCCATTCCTGTTGCAACGCAGCAGCAAGTTCTTGGACATTGGCAGGACGTTGTTGACGTTGACGTAACCTCTGTCCAAGCATGTCCCGGACATGCTCGATGGGGGAGAGGTCGGGACTCAGTGCTGGCCAAGGTAATGTGGTGATGTTCTGTTGTTGGAGGTAACCTGTAACGATCCTGGCCCTGTGACATCTTGCGTTGTCATCCTGGAAGATGAAACGGCGGCCATGACGTCGTGCGAACGGCACAACATGGACTGCCAAGATGTTGTCCCGGTAGTACTGGCCTGTAACACGTCCTGCAACAACATGTAAAGCCGTTCTTCCAGCAACAGTGATGCCTCCCCACACCATAACAGAACCACCCCCAAATCGATCATGTCTGATGACGTTAACGTCTTGGAAGCGCTCGTTTCGACGACGCCACACCCTCCTACGTCTGTCCAAAAAATCAACAGTGAACCTTGACTCATCTGAAAACATCACATTGCTCCAGCGTCGATTATCCCAGTGTTGACGATCCCTACACCAACGACGTCTTGCCTGAATGTGATGATCTCTCAAGCAAGGGATCACGCGAGGACGTCGGGCGCGAAGGTGACCCCTATGCAGTCGATTCCGAATCGTCTGGCCACTCACTCTCACACCAGTGTCTGTTTGAAGACGAGCGCTGATCTGATTTGCTGTGATGACACGATTTCTCAAGGCCAAGGTACGGATAAATCGATCCTGGGCTTGAGTTGTCGCCCTTGGTCGACCTGAGCGTGGTCTGTCCTGTACAGATTGTGTATCACGGTATCTGGACCATAGTCTGCTTATGACAGACTGAGAAACATTCATCGTCCGCGCCACAACCGCCTGTGTTGTGCCGATCTGTAGCATGCCAAGGGCACGTAACCTTTCATTTTGGGTAAGCCGACGCATATCAAAATTTGTTTTCTGGTCACTAAAACAATTAAACTGATGTTTCCACCCTGGAATTTAATGCCACAATGACTGTAACATTCAAAGTCAGAGTCGTGCAAATCTTGGGTTGGACCCCCATGATGATCCCAAGCATCACCTGCATTCCATGCGGTAGCTATTGGTGCGTTTGGGCGTCACATGTAACTGGAAATGTTTCTTCTGTTAGGTTCTATAGTGACTTTTTTCGTAGTCATTTGCATATTTTAGTATTATGCCCCCAAAATCAAATATCCCCTACTTTTTTTGAATAGTATAGAACTATGTAGACGCCACCGAATATACCAACAAAACCGCTCCGAGTAACCAGGATATACCAATTAATGTGTCTCCTATATTGTGTAAGTGAACGTAACCCCAAAATAATCGACATAGACTGCCAGGCAAGTAAATGTACGCCCATAAAAGCTAAATCCTCTGGACAGTCGACAAGAGTTGTAGCATATTAACTTTTTAGATAATGGGGTCATTTACAAGACACTGGTATCAATTTAAGTCAAATCGTATGGTAACAAAGTGAAGCAGGGGACATAACTCCAGAAAGTCGATAGACGTCTCCGTTTTACTGATTTAAATTGTGTATATACATTTCATACAGATTCTATGGCAACTTTTCTCTTTTGGACTTCCAGAGGTCTCGTATGACAACTTCTGTCGTTTGGACTTTCAGAAACTTTTGCAAAGGGAAACAGGGGAAATAATTCATCACACGGATGAAACGATAGGCATAATGCTAGAAGTAATGAACGAAATTTGTTGAAATTAAAGATACTCTTTCGTCCCACTAATGTAAACAAATTTCGAAATGATCGGATGATAAAAATATAGTCATTACCGACGACAAAATACGACCGTATAAAGACGACATATCGCCAAATCCCTCTCTAAAATATTGCAAGCAATGTAAAACTACAAATAAAAACAAGATTTCTTTAAATGTAAATTTATTTGATGAAGACAAACATTTCTACGCGTACAGACAAGTTAAAATGAATAAAAAGCTGTTACATTTACACGCCCTGCATCCGTATCAACAGATACCGTCAAGTTTTTAAAACCTGACAAAACCGTTGTTATTGTTTCCTTTTGGCCCCACGAACGCCCCTTATACATATCAACAATCTGTGTACGTTTCAGCTTTAAATGCTTTCTTTTAAATATTTGGACTTTCCCTTTCGTCTCACGAATGGTCCATGCAAGTTTCGACTCTAAATGCTTTCTTTTATGATATGAACATTATTTAAAATATTTGGACCTTTCCCTTTCGTCTCACGAATGGTCCATAATACATGTGTAAGTTTCGGCTATAAATGTTGTCTGTTATAATAATAAAAGTACTTTATATATTTAAACACTTATATCAAGAATACCTACGAATGTTTCCAATAAATACAAAATATAAAAAATATATCACAAATACAATTTCATAAAATTCAAGATGATTTCTATGGACATGTACAAACACAGTGCAATTTAAAGATGCATTATGTAAGATTTATCTTCTGGTCGTTCCTGCTATAATAGTTCACAATTAGATAACGCTGGCTCGCTAGCCTGGAGGTCGGATGTTCGATCCCTGCATTGGCCGAGAAAGTTCATCGAGATTTTCCGACGTGGTTTCCCCTTGTCAGTGGTGCAGAAGTGGGGGTCTGACAAGGACAGCTGTCTAGTCCTTCCGATGAGACAAAAAAACGAGGTCCCGTGTATATATTGGAATGCACGTAAAAGACCCCCTGGCAGTTGGAATTCGATATAAGAGTAGGCGATAGTGCCGTTGCCCGGGCAAAATTTCCCTCATAGTACACTGTATGGCGTATGCCCGTCTTCATTAGCTCAGTACAGGAGCAGAACAATAGGACGTTAAACCCCATTTCATTTCATTACAATTAGATATTGCTATATGAATGTTATGAATATTTAAAACATTTGACAAAAAGTAGTGCTAAATATTCCATATTGTCATGCACCATTGCTACGATGATAAACGGAGTCTTGATTTTCAAGATTAACGGTTAACGAAGATGTGGGCGGGGGGCGGGTGGCGGGGGGCATTGTATAAGTCACTTGTTATCTTAGCCATCCGATGATAAAGAGGGTTATTTATGGGCTTGCCGTACATGTGAATAAAGAGATGGGTTTTAACGTCCACTCGACACAAACTAGGTCATTTCGGGACTAACACATGGTTCAATTTTATTTCAATAATTCGCTTGCGCGTAAGGGTCTTTAGCAGTGGGAGGAAACCGGAGGACCCGGAGAAAATCCACGAGGTTGGACAGGCGACCGTACTCCTTGCCACGTACAACCGGGGAATAGAAACCCCGTCAGTTGACTCAATGACAGACTGTATGAATAAAAGTTTAGATAATAATTTATATAACATTTGAAGCCAGAAAACGGAACTGCAATAGAACGATTTAGCTCTTACATAATGCATCTTTAAGGAGGCAGAAGGAATTGAAAAATCGTTACACAGCCATTAAAGCAGCGTTTCAAATAAATTCATGATAATGGGGTCTTGATTGATACATATTATTATTTTAACAATAAATAAGTTTTATAAAACAAAAATCCCTTTGTTAAATGAACAGACTGATAAACCATTAGGACTCCCATGAACCGTTGTGGACTATGATTACCATGTTAAATGAATAGGCAGATAAACCATTAGGACTCCCATGAATTGTTTTGGACTATGATTACCATGCTAAATGAATAGGCAGATATGATCAAATGAAAGCATTAGTTTGCCACAATGGAATATAATATTCCATGAAAGGTTGCCAGACAATGAAACATACACCAACAGCAGCTAAGTTGTCCAGCAGTCGACAAGGGTTGTCGGGTATTTATTCTGTTGCAGGACGTATACCACCCTAATGACCACGTAAAACCGGGGCGACGTCCTTACTGCGAATGTACAGCGACCAGAAAATGCACGAGGTCGCCGGCAAACGTGAACACAACGCAAGAAAATGTCCCAAAAATATTACAAACTTGAAAAAAGTCGCGTTCTTACAGCTTTTCAGGTCAGATCGCAGAACCTTGACATTTGTTTTGAACATGCTCAAAACAAACGCTGTGACTCGGCGATCATGGGGGACAATTGTGAGCACGCCTTTACCACGCTTATAGCGATCTTGAAGCGCTCTATGACCATTTTCCGTCGCCATAGCGTCACCACAGTAAGGACGCCACTGCGGTCTGACGGGGGTATTACCATTCAGATTAAGTAATTCTTGAAGACCCGATGTCCATATGATATGCTTTACAAACCAGACACCAATTAGATTAACGACCACACTTCACCGTGTTTTAACTTTTGAAAAAAGAATTTACCATAACTATAACCGAGTAGGCAATCAATCTGATCAAAATTTCCTTTTACTTGTCTTTACTACACTAGGATCTAGAAAAGTTGTTATATAAGCCGCGTTCTTGTTTAAAAGAAGGATTAGCCAATGAAACGATCTGTTACGACAATTTCTTGGCGTGCGATGCACGGAACTGTGGGTAAGCCACTAGAAACATCAGCGCTGATTAACTGATCAATGTCTGACGCCATAGGTCAAAAGCCGCTCGTATGACCCCTGAGGCGACCTTTCACTACAACCGGCTAGATCTTCATGTAGTGTAGACCATCGGAAGTATAAAAAAAATCAAAAACACGAAATATTAGTACTCAATCAGATTAAATCGTCCCTGGTGATCCGACGCCTGTGAGATATTTTTTTTTACCAAGCACCTACATCATCTGTGTTTTAACTTTTTAGTGGCGTAATCGTAAACCCAACTCGAATTTTTGTGAAGAAGGTGTGTAACTTTATCCTTGAATTTAAACATATAGTCGCGTTTCATGTTTTCGATAAGATTTAATTCCGCGGTTAACATTATTTGACAATCCTTTTTAGTGATGGTAATATCCGAACTCCAGTTCGTTGCTTGTAAAATTAAATCCACACTTGATCGCTTAAATTTATTTTGCTGACAATAATCCGTCATCAGCTTGCGGAGATATCGGAATGTTCGAACTTCTTGAAAGAATGTGGCTCCTTGGTCATACACCTTTTTCCAGAAAACGTCATAAAAGTACTGATATAGGGCATAATCGGCTTTAGCCCACTGTTGATGTGCCAGTTTGTCGTCGACGGAAATGTTTAATTGGGCCTTATATTTGGAAAATGTATTACTTGATATGTACAGAACGTCCTTTAAGGCCCAGTTTAAGGTCCTTTTCAATAAAATCACAGATTCGTCAAAATATTCGGCAAGCATGACCAAATCAAATTCTTTACTAAGACTCTTTAAGAAGTCGTCGAGGTACGTCATGTTTTTAAAACTAACATCCGGGTAACCCAGATCGAGGCTCATTCGATTGTTGGTGAAAGAATACCACGGGTTGGCCGGTTCATATTTACGCGGATTGGAAAGAAATTCGTGGACTGGGTTTGCACTGGTGAAGTTTTTCAGATAATTAACGGGGTAAACATAACGGTAAAACATAAAGCCGGATACGAATTGTTCAAACGGTTCACGCAGTATCGTCACATATTTGGTATCAGACGGGAAAAAAGATGCTATAGCCGTTCGATTATAAATCACGTGATTACACAAGATGTCGTATTTCCCGGTAATGGAGGGTAGTACATCTCGCTTGGACACAGTTCCTAGTTCATTTATACAGTTGTATCTCCTTGGCAACATGATTGTTAAATTTCTGCTTAATCCATATCTTAACATAACATTCATCACAGTTGTACTGGCGGCTTTGTGAACTTTAATGAATACCACGTGATTTGACGGCTTATTCTCACACGTCACACAGTCAGTGACATCATTGTAGTTGCTGGCTTCCTGTATAATGGCTATGGGGGCCGCCATGATAGAATGCATCCCAGATGTTCCAAGTCTTCCGGTAAACAGGGCCAGACCACTTAGGAGAAATAAAGCTAAAATGTACCATCGCCATTTACTGAAATGAAAATAAATATTCAAGCTGAGCAACAAAAGGAGAATATACGCAAGGGGATCACGTGTCCACTTCAACCACAGTATGTTATTTCGAGATTAACCCATCTGATCAAAGCACAGATCCTATTTCGTTTCGTTTTTTTATAGTTCAAAATTTCGTTTTACCTGTCTTTACTACACTAGGATCTGAAAGAGTTGTTCTGGATGATGTGAGGGATTAGCCAATGAAACGGTCTGTTACGGCGAGTTTTGGGCGTGAGGTGCACGGTACTGTGCGTAGACCACTAGAAACGCCAACGCTGATTGATTAATCAATATCTGACATCATAAGGTCAAAAGTAGCTCGTATGAATCCTGACGCGACCTTCCACTACAACCGGTAAGATCTCCATGTAGTGTAGGTCATCGAAAGTATACAAAAATCGAAACGAAATATAGATCTGTAAATCAGATTGGGGATTAACATGGGAAACCTATAATTCGCTTAAGCGTATGGGTATTTAATGGGGAATCCAGATAAATGAAATGGGGTTTAACGTCCTACTGTTCTGCTCCGACTGGGCTAATGAAGACGGACATACACCATACGGTCTGCTATGAGGGGAATTTGGCCCAGACAGCGGCGCCACGGTCTACTCTTGTATCGAATTCCAACAGCCAAGGGATTATTTACGTGCACGCCAATGTGTACACCCGGCCTCGGTTTTACGTTCCATGAGAGCGACTAGACAGCTGTCCTTTTCAGGCACTCAGTGCTGCACTACTGACAAAGGGAAACCACGCCGGAAAATCCCGAGGAACTTTCTCGGCCAACACCGGTAGTGAACCCGAAAACTAGCCAGCGTCTTACTCACTTAGCTATCATGGCTCCGAATACAGACAAAACCCACGATGTTTCACACACTACCCTACTCCTGGTCACGAACACAAATGTGGGATCCCAAACAAACTTGCTTCGGTAAAAGCTTTCAGAGCTGAAATCGCACGCACAAGACGACAACACGTGGCATCATCACATAACACTAAAGAAAACATGCAAAGAAAGGACGGTCCGACACCCATTGTAGATTTCTTATTGTAAAAATACATTTATTTCAATAATTGGCTTGCGCGTAGAGACTTTACCTGCGGGAAATGAAATGAAATGGGGTTTAACGTCCTACTGTTCTGCTCCGACTCGGCTAATGAAGACGGACATACGCCACACAGTGTGCTATGAGTGAAATGTTGACCGGGCATCGGCACTATGACTTACTCGTATATCGAATTCCAACTGCCAAAGGATCTTTTACGTGTATGCCAATGTGCACACGAGCTCGGTTTTTAGTCCCATCCGAACGACTAGACATCTGTTCTTGTCAGCCCCTATCCGTCCTGCACCAATGACAAGGGGAAACTAAGACTTACAAGATAGTGAGAAATGATAATGTAAAACTGACTGCTTACCTTCTCTGCCAAAATCGACAGAATGGTTTTGTCATAATGTCTCACATCTGAAAATAAAATAAAGATAAAATTAGTTACGCTAGTACGTAGAGGTGGGAAAATGACCAAATGATGACGTCAAGTGAAAATAGGGTGCTAATTAAAGGAGCTAAATCGCTAATATTTGGGACCCGGAAATAGACGCAAATAAGTCGCAACACATATAATAATGTAATATGAATGTATATAAACTGATTTACATTCAATCGTTTCCGTTTTTACTCTAATTTCAAATCAGTTATGTTCGACGAAATGCGCCAGAAGTCTCAATCGAATGGCAATCTTTAGCGTCTGGTTATTCCAGTCCACACCTATTGTATTTATTGCTTTAGTTATGCTCTCCAGATAAGAATATGAGTCACCATTTGATATGACTTGTGGAATATGTCTAGCCTCGTTCTTCGAGTCCCTTGTTACATATGGCGCTGAAACGCATTCTGGTACACGATTGGTGTACAAATGGTAAAGCCCATCTTTTCTCGGTAAGATCACAACATCAATGTTGATTTAAATTGACAAATAATTCGTGGTTTTAATGTCGGAGACTTTGGGTGATATTGAGTTAGAGACTTGGCTACTGTAAAATAGCATATTTAGGTAAACATCACACTTATAATATAAAACACAGGACATATCCAAAAAACTCCTCTGAAGTATGGCTGTATGATAAGAACTTCACAACGAACGAAATTGATATTTCACCATATTGCTGCAAAGACACAAAGATGATATCTCCTGAAAAATCCCTTTCGCAGCCGCGGTTGAACCCAGAGGCCCCTGGTTAGTGAACCAGCACCCTATTCACTGAGCCACCCCAACTAACTGAAAGTTAAATTGTGAGACCTATATGTCGTACAGCATGCGCACAGTCAATAGCTTTAATGGGTATCAGTAGTTTTAAAACGGATGATGGATAGGTGTGGCCTAGTAGTGATAAAACATGTGCACATGTGCACGGATGATGGATAGGCCTAAAAATTCAGGCTTTGTCAACAATGTAATTTACGGCCTTGTATTTACATCACCTTTCGTGAGTTTTGTTTACTTTGCAAGACTTTTCGATATTGAACAAGAAGAAAAACATTGAAATAACTTAATGGATTACGTCGTGTTAAACGTCAATTGTACTCGTCACTAGATCTTCAAATCGAAATTTTACGAATTCTTTAAAACAAGTATTTTTTGATTCCACAGCTACTTCTTATTTTATTGGGGCGGGGGGGGGGGTGTGTGGGGTAAATGGCCGGCCGAATGGTTAGCACTTGCGCGCTGTATCATAATGTCTGTTATTGAGTCAGCTGTTGTGGTTTCGATTCCCGGGTTGTACGTGACAAGCGGTAGGGTCGTCGCCTGTCCGACCTTGTAGGTTTTCTCCGGGTCCTCTAGTTTCTTCGCACTGTTAAAGATCCCTACGCGCAAGCGAATTACTGTAATAAAATTGTACCATGTCTTAGTCCCAACTATTGAAATAAAATTGGACCATATGTTAGTCCACAATTGACCTAGTTTGTGTTGAGACAATCCCCCATCCTCTCTCTCTCTCTCTCTCTCTCTCTCTCTCTCTCTCTCTCTCTCACTCTCTCTCTCACTCTCTCTCAATCTCTCTCTCTCTCTCTCTCATCTATCCCCTCTCTCTCTCCCCCTCTCTCTCTCTCACTCTCACTCTCTCTCTCTCTCTCTCTCACTCTCTCTCTCTCTCTCTCTCTCACTCTCTCTTACTAGTTCTGAGTAACCAATACTTACGGAATGCACAAACAGGAACTAAACCAACGCCATATATGGTCAACTTGCATGACAATAAATTCCATCTCTTGAACAAAACTGATACATAGTTATGCGCCGTCTTCCACAATTACCTACTACCGTTGATCTAAACAATATCTCGTTCGTGTACTCCGTACGTTTCACATTTTGTAGAGTGCGATTATCTGTTTCATCACATGAAGTTAAAATTCCAACAAACTGAAAATAAAAATCACAACAGACTTGAAACCTGAACAACCGGAAGGGAAGAACGTTTGTTTATTTGTTTGTTTTTTTTTTATAAAAATAGCAGCTTTGTATAATCGTCGATATGCAAATATTTATTTTTTGAACTCTCAAGTTGACGATAAACAGTTTCCACAATGAACAACTGTAACAAACGACCGATTTTTAGGTTTGTTTTTTAAAACAACTAGTCTTATATAATTGTCGATATGCATCTCATACCGTGGCTAGGTGGTTAAGACGCTGGCTCGCTAGCCTGGAGGTCGGGTGTTCGATCCCTGCATTGGCCGAGAAAGTTCATCTGGATTTTCCGACGTGGTTTCCCCTTAGTAAGGGGTGCATAACGGGGTTCCTGACAAGGACAGCTGTCTAGTCCTTCGGATGAGACGAAAAACCGAGGTCCCGGTTATACATTAGAATACACGTAAAAGATCCCTTGGCAGTTGGAATTCGATATAACAGTAGGCGATAGTGCCGCTACCCGGGCAAAATTTCCCTCATAGCACACTGTATGCCGTATGCCCGTCTTCATTAGCCCAGGTTAGGAGCAGAACAGTAGGACGTTAAACCCCATTTCATTTCATTTGCATCTTATACCAATGTTTATTTCGGTTGACGTTTTAAAGTTTCCTCTCTGAACCTACCGACGAATGAAGGTAACTAACTGAACCGCGTGAATGGTTGAAGGAACAAACAAACCAAGTTCATATATAAACAGAGTATAATGAACAAACAGACGTGATTGGTTATAATCTGGCACATGTTGAAAACTGTTTTTATATTCTACATTTATAAAGACTGTGTTTTCATGATTTTACATATTCTTACTGACTCCATCATACAGATTCCCACTGATGTTACTAATTTCTATTGTCTTCATCATGGGGGGGGGGGGGGGGGGGGGGGGGGGGGGTGGATGGCTGAATGGTTAGCGTGCGCGCGCTGTATCATAAAGTCTGTCATTGAGTCGACTGGCGTGGTTTCGAATCCCCGGTTGTAGTGGCAAGGGGTAAGGTCGCCTGTCCAACCTCGTGGGTTTTCGCCGGGTCCTCCGGTTTCCTCCCACTGCTAAAGACCCCTACGCGCAAGCAAATTAGTGAAATAAAATTAAACCATATGTTAGTCCCGAAATGACCTAGTTTGTGTCGAGTGGACGTTAAACCCAATTTCTCTCTCTCTCTCTGTCTTCATCATGTTACAGATTCCCATTGACTTTATGATGTTACTAATTTCTATTGACTTCATCATGTTACAGTTTCCTACTGACTTTATTAGTAAGTGCGGGGGGGGGGGGGCGAGGCTGCACCACTCGGCAAACCTCGGCAGATGATTCCGTTACTCTACATCTAGCCTCTGTTGTATGACGGTAAGTGATATGTACCTACGCCTATACAATTGCGATGCGGCACCGGTTTACTTATTAGAAAAACTTGCCGCTTTTAAAAAGAAGTTATAAAAATCGCGTCGTTGAAAGCGTGTGTAGAATTTACAGTGCAAAGTTGTCCTTGTTTGAAGAAAATCGGATGAACTTGAAAGAAAAACAGTTTCAGACTTTGAAATATTTGTATGATATTCTGCAAAGGCGTCGTCATGGACAACGCCGTTGGTAATCCGGGAACTTGAAAGTAGTTCCAATGGCGGACGTCGTCATACAGCCGAGGCTAGATGTAGGGTACTGGAATCTGCTGAGGTTTGCCGAATGAGGGCTGCACCACACATAATTACACAAAACAAAACTATGGACAAGACACAATACGCTGAAATCACAAACAAATGTACAATCAAATTAAGTGAATGGATCCGTGGGCTAGCCATAAGCGTCCACTGCACTGTATAGTCTGTGACACAGACTTCACTCAAAATTCAAAAAGCCAAACAATCAGGAATATAACCCAGAGAAAAACATTGTATAATACTAGTACGAGTCATGATCTGTTATATGTAACATGAAATATGAATGTAAGCAATGAAATGAAATGAAATGTAATGGGGTTTAACGTCCTACTGTTTTGCTAGTGAAGACGGTCATACGCCATAAAGTGTGCTATAAGGGAAATAAAACATTAAGTAACCATATTGGTATGGGCTATGTTATAGTGAGACACATTTTAATTGTTCAAAAGAATTGAGGGATATTGACTATAAAGTATAGGCATATGTTCCATTTATCACAAAAAAAACCCCAGAGGAAAAACCAACACTACTGAATACAAAGAAGCAAACCGAGAAAGTGCAAATCATCTAGAAGAGATTCATTTGCTAACTGAATGACGTGACGTAAAAGGTTGTCAATGACGTTACAAATTCCTATTGCCTATGTCTTTAAATCTACCACACACGACAGTAAAAATCCATTCATGGGTGAGATTTTGAATATGAACATTGCATTTTAATACCTAAATATGTATATTTGGTCGTGAGGCGATTTTCTACCCGATTTGAAATCCAAACCAATCCAATTAGCTGGAATGGAATATACAGTTTAACGACTCGCCAGCATAATACTCAGGTCACGTGTTCCAGGGACGACTATTTTGCCTGAAATCGAAGAAAAACAGATATAAACGCCGCTGTCCGGACAAATTCTTCTAATTCGTCAAAATAGACCTGAAAATAACCACCAACTCTATTCCTTTCTATTTCTAATAAAATCGAATCTCAACATCTACAGCTAATCTCAACATCTATAGCGAATCTCAACATCTATAGCGAATCTCAACATCTATAGCTAATCTCAACTTCTGTAGCTAATCTCAACATCTATAGCGAATCTCAACAAATTTCATCTTAACAAACCTAATTTAAAAAAAAATTGGAAAAATTGAACTAAATGATTTGAAAAGCCTAACGTAAACCTTTTCAAATGTGACTTGGATTTAAAAATATTTTCGAACCCTCTGGACAAGTAAAATAGGATGTAATGGATAATTTACACAACAGGTAGGGCACCTAAACATTTAGTACTTAGAATAAGGCCATTATTTATTTTTTGGAGCTGTCAAGCCAGCAAGAGTGTTATTGTCCCTTGAAGGCCTAAAGAAAGACCTGCAATAAGCATTTTAGCTCTTGAATAATACCTATTTAAGTAACCCTCTCTCCATATTTCCTAACTATCCGTAATTGTTCTTTAATCCGCGTACTGCCTGGTTCTAAAGTCATACAATTTTGTAAACGTTAGAAAGAGAACATGGTGGCATAAAGCTAATATTTAAACATAAATTACAACATTTTCTCTTTGCAATATAGCAAAGTCTTTTGTAAACAAAATAAGTAAACGAGACACGTTGAAGTATGTAGCCTGTCAAATAAATGAATGGGGTTTAACGTCCTGCTGTTCTGCACTACTCGGCTATTGAAAGCGCAGGGGCGGATCCAGCCCCCCCCCCCCCGCTCAGCTACATACAAAATTTGTATAACAACACTTTTTAAGAGAAAGGTGTCACGGTCGTGTGCTTTATCCTTTATCATCAGTTGGTGGAATGGGATGGGCATTCAAAGTGTGAGATAATGATATAGACAAATGTGATATCACAATTAAGGCTTTGCATTAATGAAATTGAATCATAATGTGATCATATTTATTCATAATAAAAATGGACGTCAAAAGGGGTGTTGGATTGCTCTCTTTAAAAAGCTCAATGTGTATGTATAGATGCCAAAATGACGACAGAGACCATGTATTTCTCAAACATTTTCAAGGACACCCCCACCCACTCTCCAAAGATACATTGTCTCGGGTACCAGGCAAACCCACTCCTGTAACAATTCCTGGATCCGCCCCTGACGGGCATACGCTACACAGTGTACTGTAAGGTTGTTTTTTATTTTTACCCGAACTGTGTCGTTTCATACTTGTCAGTGATGCAGGGCGGGGGGCCTGACAAGGACAGCTGTCTAGTTGTTCGGATGGGACGAAAAACCAAGGTCCTGTGTACACATTGGCGTGCACGTAAAAAGATCCCTTGACAGTTGGAATTCGATATAAGAGTAGGCCGTAGTACCGCTGTCCTGGCAAAATTTCCCTCATAGCACACTGTATGGCGTATGGCCGTCTTCATTAGCCCAGTTTAGGAGCAGAACAGTAGGACGTTAAACCCCATTTCATTTCATTTCATTTCATCCCCACTACTCTTCCACGAATTCTAATTCCCAAGGGGGGGGGGGGGTGGATGGCCGAATGGTTAGCACGTGCGTGCTGTATCATACGGCCTGTCATTGAGTCAACTAGCGTGGTTTCGAATCCCCGGTTGTACGTGACAAGGCGTAGGGTCGCCTCTACAATCTCGTGGGTTTTCTCCGGGTCCTCCGGTTTCCTCCCACTGCTAAAGACCTCTACGCGCAAGCGAATTATGGAAATAAAATTGAACCATGTTAGTCCCGAAATGACCTAGTTTGTGTCGGGTGGACGTTTAATCCCATCTCTCTCTCTCCCTCTCTCTCTCACTCACTCTTCTGTGAATTCCAATTCTCAGGGATGTTTTTACGTGCACACCCTTTGATTGTTTTAGGATCAAGGCAAGTTGTTTTAACAGCGGTTGATCTGTGTATATCTTGTTTAAACAAGACCAGTCATGTAAATTATATTTTAACAAGTTGATATTTAAATTGGTTCTGTCCACATATCTTGGTGTGTGCAAACATTTGTGACAAGTTTACATTGCTAGCAGAATCAATTTTTTTTCTTTTATGGAAGCTTTCTGGGGTTTTTTTTAACCATGGTTTTCGACATAAAGTTTAGGTAGCGAACTAAAATGAAAGGAAATGAAATTGGGTTTAACGTCCTACTGTTCAGTGGGCTGTTTCATGAAATTTTAACTTAGATAAAATCCAAATTTTAGTAATTTGATTGGGCAATATTAGATTGATTTTAGTGCTTAGCCAATCAAAATTGCAATATCTACTAAAATTTGGATTTTATCTTTAGTTAAGATTTCGAGAAACAAGGTCCTGCTACTATACTAGGCTAATGAAGA